GCATATCTAATAACTCGTTAGAAAAAATAAAATATGTTAGATGGAAAAGATATAAAATAATTGACACATTATATATCTGTTTTCACGTAATAGATGAGTGTATCTAACTGTTACAATTGAATTCAAACGATATCAGTAGGGGAATTACTCTCGCTCTCTCTTAAACGGAAAACAAAAAGCAATTACTGTCTCCCGTAGATATCCAATGAAACTGGATACCACAACAGATAAACGAGTAGTAAAATATTCTGAGAAATAATTAAACTTATTAATTAAAAGTATAGTTTTAATCATCCAGCAGCTGTAATAATTGCATGTTTCCAAAAGATTAAGTATCTATAGACAATTTTTCACTTTAGTACAAAGGTTTTGTTGTGCGTGGACATTAACCAAAAAAAGTGGATTTGATGTGGGCGGGTGAAACACATAAAATTATTATTCACACGTTGGTAAACAAACAAAAGAGACTCACACTTGTGCCCTAAAAGCATAACCACATGTTGGTCGGTGTCCCCCTGAAATACGATATATTCATATAATATAAGCTTGTAGGAAACCTTTTCCTCAAAAATAAAATCTTTAGGGAAAAAACTACAATATATTTTTAATATCAACTTGATAGAAAATGCCAATTAGCCTCTATATATAATAAACAGAAATTTGTTTTTTTTTATAGGACTGTTACTGTGGGCGTATATCTGATGTCATTTTCTCTGTTGATTACTATTGTTTTTTTTAATAAAAAGGAGATCCCGATGAAAATTTACATGCACATTTCTATTATTTTCTGATTTTTTTTTTTTCCCTGAAATTCCATTTTATGTTATGTTATTTTTGAACGTACGCTAATGTGTTTTATTGGTGAACGTAGCTATAAATATACCACCTTATAACCTTAAACATCTTATTGTATATAGAGATAACTGAAATAATTTTCTGAATCATTACGGGCGGGGTTTATCAGATCAAAAGAGGTATTATTCGATAATTTTTATTAGTTTATGTTTTCAAAAATTATTTAACTGAATTAAGAAGTAGAGTTTCTGGAAATCTTAAAGTGTTTCTCTCACTGATCTGATTGATTTGATATACAACTAGGTGTTGTCTTCAGTGTCCTTTTTAAAATTATTAATTTTTTTTTTTACGTATGACTTCCTGACAGATCTATTATTTTACATACACAGATTTCAGTTCCAGAGTTATATATATATATATAACATTCTAGTATGTTAAATAAATAAATCTCCTCATTTTACCACGTTAAACTAATTATATTGATTTGGTTACCAATTTTAATATATTTAATTGAACTAACTATATTTAAATAATAAATTTACGTCAATTAATTAGTCTTCACCTTCTTACATAAAATTTATTATAAATCGAAACTGAGGAAGTAATATGTACTCCTTCTGTTCTTTAATAAGTGATGTGTTAAACTTTTTGTTTTTATCTTAAATAGATGATGTTTTCAGTTTTCAATGCAAAATTATTAACTTTTTTATTGGTTTTGACGATTTATATTATATAGATTATTTTTTTATTGGTTGATTAGATAATAAATGATGTTTTAGTTTAGAAATAAACAAAAATTAAATAATTTCTTAATCGATATGCATTCTCATAAAACATCACTTATAAAAGAACGGAGGGGGTATTAATGATTTTATTTTTGATTTTGATTTTGATTTGTTTCTATCTAAATTTCAGAAATTTGTATAGGAGACTAAAAAAATAAGTTATATACTGTAATATTAACTTTAATATAAAAGTATTTACAACAAATTGGCTCGGATGCAGATAGCCGAGCCCATACCTATGAATATTTACGTAGAGCTATCCATATTTGTATGCGAATCAACTGAGTAATCATTTCTTGAAACAACACCAAACACATAAGAGAAAACAAATAGAAACAATTTCTTATTCGACGTAGTTAATGAGTAGCTTTATATTAAAAATATCAAAAGGAGAGAAAAATACCAAAACAGCTATACAATTATACAGAGACAGGCAAAAACAGAGGGCATCTGAAGAAGCAAGTTGTCTCCTACTGTGTCTTTCTACACTCTACTTTTTGCATACGTATTCGCACACTGACCTATGTACGGACTATTTTATTATGGAGATTTAAAGTTAAATTCATTCTCCCTAACAAAAATGAAATTATTTTGATCCATCCGTCATACATCATTGTACACTGAATATACACCCCATTCCCAAACATCATTTGTACACTGAATATACACCAATTCACATTTGTGCCTTTTTTTTTTTTCTAGCGCAAAACACATCTGTACTTTTTTAAGAAAAAGAATATCACATTTACATTTAACAACATGCATGAATATGTGTAACTCTACTCTCGTAATCGTTATGGTATGACATAATTACTAATCGGGAAAGATCAACGTATTTATGAGCAATGGGTTGTATTCTCTCAATTTTCCATTATTTGATGTTTTAAAAGACAAAATTTGTTTTAAATTAGTTAATATTTTTAATTTTCAATACCAAATTATTTGTTTTCATTGATTTTGGCAAGTTTTATTTTACAACATTATTTTACTACTATTTGAATCGTATTTATATAGATAATAGATAATATTTTAATTTAGAAATAAACAAAACTAAATAATTTCTTAATCGATATACGGAACTCTTAAACATCAAATAGAAAAAATGGATAGAGTATAACCGGTGTATAAGACATTCACTTGAGTGGTAATTAATAAACTCAAAAGATCCAATACACCATAAAATATTTGCTTCCATTTAGTTGTTTTAATTAAGGTGACCACTCTTATCAGTGGAACAGTGTAAAGAAGAAATAACTTATTAATAAAAGTTTTTTTTAGTTTTTGAAATATTAAGATGCTTGATCAGAGATCTAGACTCAATAACCAAAATACCCTTAAAAAACAAACTATCTATTTCCCATCATCATTTTAGTATTATTGTACAACACCTCTCCGATAAACTATGATCAGAAAACTATTATATATATATAATCGTTTTTGGAGTCTTGACCAAAGTTATTTTTATACCAAAAATCAGGCTAAGATATAAACCAAAAATAAAACTAAAAATAGGGTTCCCATAGGAACAAAACAAAAAAAAGATTATAGAAAATAAAATTACAAAAAAAAAAAAAATTACAGGTAGCGCACAATTTTTTTTTAGGTAGCTCACAATTAAATCTTAACTGTTAAGTTAAGGCACAATTAAATTTTAACTGCCAAATTAATATTGTATAATACTCTCTCCGTTCGTTTATAAATAATGTTTTAGGAGAATGCACATAGATTAAGAAATTATTTAATTTTTGTTTATTTCTAAACTAAAACATCATTTATTATCTAATCAACCAATAAAAAATAATCTACATAATATAAATCGTCAAAAGTACCAATAAAAATGTAATTAATTTTGTATTAAAAATTAAAAATATCATCTATTTAAGAACAAAATTCGAAATTTAAATCATCACTTATAAAAGAACGGAGAAAGTATGCACGAACTAAATAAAAATCGAGTGGCTACTAACTGTGTAAGCCATGTTTGCTTAACGTCATAGGTAATAAATAATTGCACGGTTCTTCTTCAGCTTCGGTTTGGATCGTCCTTCTTTATTGCTCTTTTTTTCTTCTTGATTACATCTTGATTACTTTTTTTAGAACAAATATTATTCGGAATTTTAAATTGCTTAATATGCCAAAATATGTGATAATAACTTGGACATGGTCAAACATATATTGATTTTACAACTTATAAATTAATATCCTTTCAAAAATTTCTTACGAAACTACCCCTACAATGGTTTTCCTCATTTTCATAAGTGTTCAAAACTTAGTGATAAAGAAAAACATTTTGTTTTCTTTCACGCAAGTGACAAAAAAAATCTTTTTAGGCGCCTCTGTCGCATGATGCCAAAATTAGTCTATTTTGCTGAAGAAAATACAAACTAGGTCACGTTAAGACGTTGATTGGATGTGGGGAAATATACAAAGTATGTTAACACATTTAATAAATTCTCAATTTTAACAGGACACATTATTTGATAGTTATTAAGAATTTAGTTTTATCTTTTTTTTTTTATTCAGAATTTAGGTTGAATTTAAATTTATGATAGGGTAATATATAGTTTTTAAAAAAATTCGATAGAGTAATATAATTAGATAAAAGTTTGACCGCCCTGATTTAATATTTTTACAGACGATAAATAGTATAGTAATTGATATTAAACCATGAATGTATAGTACTGTTTGTGTTATTGTTATTGATAGAAACAAAATTAATTAGATTTTATTCTAACGATTTGTTAATTGCAAATTTACATGATTTTGTATTCATTTGGTTTTTCACTTGCAGTTGTTGTTATCGGATGTTCTGGTGAATCAGATCTGTTTACTAAGAAATCGTTTAACTTTTATAAAATGTATAACTAATGTTACATATAAGTTTTTCTTTTGATTTGCTGGTATATTTTGTTCACTGCAGTATAAAACCATTGCACACATATATATGTCGAGATAATGTGAACTTTCGTCCACAAAACCTGATCATTATTCTTAACGAAAAAAAAACCTGATCATTAGGCTATACAAGTTATTGCTTTTGAAAAGGAAAAATATTAGTTTAATAGTATTTATTTATCTTTGATGATTTATAGAGCAGAAAGAGGGACAATCATAACCGAGACTTATTCATATACTGTAATTATTTTTTTCAGGTGGACGGTACAATATGCGCCTCACCAATTTCATATTAACTTTTGTCCTCAATAATATTATACATTTTTACTTATTTATTTCAAACCGTTATTTGCAATAGTACTTGATTTATTCTGTAGTATAACATTTTCTCCAGCTATACTCTATATTTTACTCTAAAATAGATTATATGTAGAACAATTTTATTTTTTTACAATAACTCTATTTTAGAGTAAGATATAAAGTGATATATTAGAAAAAATCATGCCTTATTTTAAAGTGAAAAAATAAATATTTACATTAGAAATGGTCTTAGCACTAATTTTTATTTACCTCAACCTTATCATCACTTATAGGTCAAAATATGGTGTCTGATTTATACTTCCAATGCTTATGTGTTCATGACTATTGATTTCTGATTTATATGGTGTCTGGCCTTCAACGAGTAATAAAATTCAATTCAAATTGGACCGGACTCCGGTTGAGCAGAACTAGGCTAACCCGTCTGACACTCGAATGCTTTTAAATAACTAGATTGAACATATTGTTTGCAATTGCAAGTGTAGTTGTGGGTTTAGAATTTTTTGTTGGATAAATTTTTGAGCAACGTTGGAGATTTGAATACAATGAAAATGAGATTCAATTTAAAGCATGTATGTTACGGATAAAAAAAAGTAATGTATAGCTATTTTTTCTTGTTGTACCCGTTACCGCAAATTTATGTTTTAAGCTTGGCAAATACATATTACATAATTTGATCACCCATGCAAATCAAAGCGGATAAGAGATACTGTTGACTTTTTGGACTATCCTAGTTCCAATGGTCAAAGAGGGTTTGCTTAGTTGCTATACCTTCAAATGCCAATCAACTTCCACTCGTTTGTGTATCTCCGAGTTAAGAATACACTACTATATACTATATGTAACAAAATATAATATATGCTTATATCATTCAAGTATATTATAATGAACCCACTAAAAGATAAAGATAAACTACATGTAACTTAATAAACAAGGAAAAATATACTATTTAAGTAATCATTCTCCTATAAATTCACTACCTCAACTCACCACCTCTCACAAACTCAAAAACAATTTGTGTCTTCTTTTTATATATTCTCCATTACCAGAAAAAATACAACCCAAATAGAAAATCAACATTCTTCAAAGCAATGGACCAAGAACAAACCCCACAGAGCCCAACCGGCCATAGTCGTTCACCCTCATCCTCGGCCTCCGGTTCCACCTCAGCAGAACCGGTTCGGTCACGATGGTCACCTAAACCGGAACAAATACTCATACTTGAGTCGATCTTCCACAGTGGTATGGTTAACCCTCCCAAAGAAGAGACGGTAAGAATAAGAAAGATGCTCGAGAAATTTGGCGCGGTGGGAGATGCAAATGTCTTTTATTGGTTTCAAAACCGGCGGTCAAGATCCCGTCGGAGACAGCGACAGCTCCAGGCCGCAGCTGCAGCCGCGGCCGCAACCACCAACACTTGTGACCAGACCATGATGGTGAGCAACAGCTTACCACATCATAGTGGGAGTGATTTGGGGTTGGGAGGGTGTAGCACTTCTTCTAATTACTTATTTGGTGGGTCATCTCAAGTTCCTTCCTATTTTCTTGGTCTCTCTTCTTCTCCTCCTTGTTCAAGCTCTTCTTCCACTTCTTCTTCAGCTAGCTCTTCCTCTTCTTATGGTGGTGGATGTGATAATCAAAGCAATAGTGGCATGGAGAATCTCTTAACAATGTCAGGCCAAATGAGTTATCATGAAGTTAATCATCATCATTACCAAAATCATAGCTCAAATGTCGCATCGATTTTGTGCCCATCTGATCAAAACTCCAATTTTCACTACCAACAAGGTAAATAAATAAATAAATAAACAGAATTTGCATGACTCTTTTTTCTTTGTAAACTCCAAGTGCTTTTGTCCTCTAAACCCTCTTTCTTTCCCCAAAAAGTCTCTAAAAGTAACAATTTTTTAATTGTAAAAGTTGTTTTGAGGGTAGAAAAAAAAATCCAAGTGTGGGTGGGTTTCAACCAAAGAACCGATTTTTTTTATTTGGCGACTTAGTTAATATAATTGCGTCCAATTTTGTACTTGAGAATAATTTTGAAAATCAGGGGCTATAACGGTGTTTATCAACGGAGTTCCGACAGAAGTGACGAGAGGAGGAATAGACATAAAAGCAACGTTTGGAGAAGATTTGGTTTTGGTGCATTCCTCAGGTGTTCCTCTTCCTACTGATGAGTTTGGTTTTTTGATGCATAGCTTACAACATGGTGAAGCTTATTTCCTGGTAATAATCCAAACTCAAAATAGATTTTATTTTTTGGTATTATTAGTTTTATTGCTGATCGAATTCCTCGTGAAGATATATGTTATATTGTCTCTCTTTTTCTGTGGTTCTGTCTCTCTTTTTCTCTCTCTCTCGATCCTCACTTTGGTGTTGAAAATAGGAAATGAGATGGAACCCAATTGGGGTATAGTCTTAAATTGGCTGCTACAGTATATTTGAATCATCATAATAATTTAATAGTAATAGAAAGTCTTTCGTAAGAAAAAGAGAATATAAATCTAATTGATGAGTGTCGGTTTGTGCAGTAAATGAACATGATTTTTTTAGACTTAGTTACTTTTTTTTTTTGGTAGGATTTTTTAGACTTAGTTACTGTAACTGAAGTTTTGTGATTTGAAGACGTTTCTCACATTTGAATCAAACATAAAGTTTTTTTGTTCATGTTCTTAAAAAATTAACACATCTATGTATTTCAAATAATATATTAAAGTATTATTAAATTCATTCATTTTTTTTCCTGTTAACCTTAGTTCTATTAATAATAGGAATATTTTAGAATGTATTTGTTCAAACTGATAAATAAATGCTGAAAACATTATGCCAAAAGCAATAATCAAAAATGGCACTTTTGGAAAACAATATACAATATACAAATTACTGTTTTGATAAAAAAATAAAATAAAAAGTCAAATACTAGTTTGTACAATTATCTTCTAAAATAGCTATTTTTATTTCTTTTTCATCATTCATGGTCTAATGTGAATATTATGTTTACTATACTTCTATCGAAGATACCCGTAACAGTAACTTTACATAATTTATGCATGGGAGATCACATGTTTATGAGTGTGTGTGTGTGTGTGTGTCATTTTTTGCTTTCTTTTGAAAGGATTTTTTTTTTTGGTAAATAGTAATATTATATAGTCGTGGGGTGAAATAGTTATTCCTTTCCTTGGCAAACGAAACATTGGGAAAATGTATTCTCTATCTTTTGTTTTTCTGCTCTTTTTTTTTTTTTTTTTTTTTTTTTTTTTTTTTTTTTTTCTGCTCTTGATCACATACATCTCTAATAAATTTGATGAGTGTCAAATTCGGCATTAGGGTTTCCTCTCTCTCTTTAATGGGATCCTATCAACAGATATCTTTTAGATCGTTCTTTTTTTTTTTCCTTTTTTTTTTCCTTTGTATAGTAGTATAAAAGATTTTCTTTTGTTATTTGTTCTTTTTCGTTTTGTTATCGACAGGTTCCAAGACAGATATGAACTGGCTTTAGTCTTATGTGTGGTGATGCAACAGATGCCATGTTTTTCTACCTTGGACTTTATTGCAACGGTCAATCCATTTTTTCTTTTCTTTTTGAGTCTATCGTGTAATCAAATTAAGTTTTTTTTTTTTTTTTTTTTTTTTTTTTGAAGATAAAGTCAAAAGCTCTCGTAAGACGAAGAGATCTAGTTTGTATCAATTTTGTTAATTAGATGTAAAATATGTATAACTGATTGGCAATAAAATCTCTGTTTAGGGATCTCCAAGTTTCTTATCATAAAAAAAAAAAAGAGAATCGAGACCTGTCAGATAGATCAACATGGTAGTGTACTAGTATGATGTGAAATTATTTAGGTGGAAGTCGCCAGTCATAATCCGATTACTTAAAGACTAGGATAAAAATCAACTTAAAATTTTTTAATTACACAAAAAAAGACTAATCCCAAAGTGCCAAATCAATAGACTTGTATGATTAGTGGAAGGAAAAAGTAGACATTTATGGAAGGCCTCGATACTTTTGAACACCTATTGTAGAATAATAAACTGTCACATGAGATCATTTTTCAAATTATTGGGATCCGCTTATTAAATTTAAAAATTGATAGTTAATCTCACTTACTCCCTATGTTTCACAAAGAGTATCATTCTACCATTTTTCACATAAATTCAGAAAACTAAACAAATTTTATTTATACCCCGTATTAATACACTAGATAATATACCTTTTCTCTAATTAATAAGCTGAAATAGTAGAGATAAAAAAGAGAATTAGTATTAAAAACATAAAACGACACTCTTTGTTAAACAAAATTAAAACCTTAAAACGACACTTTCTGTGAAACGGCGGAAGTATAAAATAAGGATTGTTTGGAGTTCAAATTTTTTAAAAATTGGACTGTATATCCACCACTATTTTTTTTTTTTTTTATAACTCAGGTGATCATAAAGGCTTTCTAGGCCCAAAGACTAATTTTGGGGTCTGAGGAAACCATGTTAAATTGCTCGAACCTCGGTGACCAATACTACTCGAACCCAAGGTGCGGGAATTACCTGGGTTCTTTTTACAGTTGACAATCTTTTTATAAATAAAACTTCAAGTGATCAATGTGAAAGAGTTACTGAGATGCTTGGAGCTCTATAGGCAACATCAAGTCAAATGATAAACTTCTCCAAATTGGCCATAACCTTTTTGGTAAGAAGGTATTAACGTTGCGCATCTTAATGAAATGAAAATCTAGAATTCATAAGAATAATGGTCCATGTTAAAATTAGCTGCTTAACTATGAAAAATATTTTATATGTGAGAATAATGACCCATTTTAAATTTAGTTTATTAGTTATATGATAAATGAATCCTTAGAGCGGTCAAAACCTTCGTAATGTCCTTTTAGTTTCTCAAAGTACTCGGATGATACAAATCCAAAAGCGAGAAGAATTCCCAAAATAATGTTTTTAACATCGTAATATTCACTCACATTTTTATTATGAAAGCACACTTTAGAAAAGAAAAAAAAAATTAATTAGCTCAAATGCATATCAAAGATATATAAAACGATAGTAATGTTTAATGAAGGTCGGCTATGTAAAATTAGTATAAGATTAGCTTGTTCATAAAGTAATTAGTGAAACGCTTAGTAATCTGATTTTAAACCGAATTCAATATTAGCTAATCAGTAGATATAGTTTGGATTATATTAGTTTTGATGAGTATATATATAAGAAAAAAAAGAGCATAAGACAGCTGGGTTCACCAGATTTTGTATTCTTGTCGATTCCTGCTCTCCGAAACACAAACCTTAATTAACAACTCGAAGCAAGATCTTAATCGGATAGTTAAGACTTACTTGTAAAGCTAAATTCTGCCCATTAGATCTAACATTGTAAACATCAAGTGAAAGGTTACAATATGAATGTTGACTTAATGAGTCTGAAGGACAAAATTTGTATTCGAAATCATGCATATACAAATCCAAGGTAATTTTTATAAAATCTTTCATCATTCTCCGTAATAAAATAGGGTGCCACGGAGCAAAAGCTATATTCAACATTTGTGTATATTTATATTTATTAACAAACATATATTATCTTTGGTTTGAATATATATTTTTATTTACTTAAAAGTGCTGCAATTGGATCTCATAAATCAAATTTTTGCACGAATTCCTTATTCTATATAGTATTATCAATCTCAGTTGGACTAAATTTGGGTAGAAGAGATCGATACAATAAACAATGTTAGAAAACAGTACTATAAAATTAAAGAATGTGAGCTGAACATGCATGTATTGCCAATCCTTAGAGAAAAAGATGATTTAGATACTAAAATTCGTACTAAGCAATCAAATAAAGTTACTAGGCGTAGGAGACAACACCGACCACTATAACCAGTGACTAGGAGACGCATGTTTGGTTAATTCTTGATTTCCGAACTGAAAGAAGAAAGCATATATATTGAGACTTACCATATGGATATTTTCAAACTCACTCCCCACATTTTCCTATTGGCTCCATGTGGATAATTAATACTGTACACTTTAATATTTCCGAAATATTTTTGGTTGATTACTGTGTTATTTTGTACTTAGGAGACACCCAACTTTTTTAGCGTCTGTATCCCACATTCTATGTGCACTCCGATTTCTGATTTCTGATTTCGTTTGTTTATGCATGATTTGTTGACTAATTTATGTTTCTAATTTATATTTTCTCTCTCATGTTTCTGTTTCTTGTCTACCATAAGAATATATGTGTGTGTTAACTTTTATTTTTTTTTGACAGCAAAGTTAAAAATATTTTATAGAATCCATGTAGTTAACCGAAACTGTTCTCTAAGGATAAAATCCAGCAGTGATTAAAATGTATGTAACCAGCCCATGAAAAAAACTACACGGCTAACGAAAGTTACAATCACTTGATCAAATATGCCCATATGGCCACAGGCTTTTTTTCTGTTGGCCCAGCCCAAAGTAACGTAAACCCACAACCCAATTGGGCTAGCCCAAATTTGACCACAGGCTTTTTCTGATTTTTTTTGGTTAATTTATGACTTTAAGAGAATAAACCGAAGTTTTTTACCATATTAAAAAAGAAAAATAGTAAAAAAGAAGAGTGAGAAAAGAGAATCGATTCTCACATGAGAACACATGAAAACATATGAGAACTTCTCTAGAGACGCCTTTCACACCTGGCAAGATTTGATTGGTTTTGCTTTTTCTTTTTAATTATTAATTTAAAATAACAAATAAATTATATTAAAAATATTAAAGTAATATTTTTTTAGAGAGTATATGAATCTCTACCACTGCTCATGCTCTAAGGGATTGAGTTCTTTACTACTGAGAAAAGAAAAAAGTCTGCGTTCATCAATCTCGCACCACATCATGTGACTCAAAAGCTATTTTGTTCTTCAACATGAGTCGAGTCAACCTTAGACGTTCAAATTTGTGTTTTGAGTAGTTCTCATTTTAGAAACTAACATATCGAATTTTCGGACTACTAAAAAAACACAAATTTTACATATCTGGACAAAACACATAAAATTTTGATTTGTTTTACTCTGCAAGTGTTGGATGAAGAATTTCCACAACTCCCAAGTCTTCGGATCTTAAAAACTTGTGCTATCGGAGAATTGTTTTCTTAGTAACTTCAGTTTTGAAATCAACATCCATTTGAATTAGTTGACAAGCAACATTGTTAAAATTAATATTCAAAAGAGTTGTCAGGTTTCATCCCATGTAAACGTTGACAGACCAACCGACGATGTGAGTTGCACATTTAATTTACAGAATTATATGTACTTTTCATCCAGAAAATGTTTTTTTTTTTGTTAATTAAATTAAATATTTACAAAAGGATTAATTATTCATAAGTAACTACAGACGTTATATCAATGAATAATCAAGGAGTCACTTAAGAATTTTTTAATACTATCAAATGCTATAAAATAATTAGAAGATAATTACACATTATTTGTAGTTCTTAAATGTAATCACCTAAAAATGCATTTTTTTGAGCAGCGTGCAGCTTCGATGTGGACATTTGGGTTCAAAGCACGGATTCCTTGTGCTGTCGCCGGTAACCCGTTGGGGAATCACGGTGAACCACAAGAGCTTGTGCACTAGTAGGAAAATATTTTGTAACCTAGTAAAAGAATTTATATGAACATTAAACTCTGTCAGATCTTATAAATTCTCTTTAGTTAATCATAACGTTTTGACCATTTACTAAAATTTTGACTACCATTAATCTACGCAAACTTTTTACTATTTTAAATATATTGTTTTACCAGAAATATTAAACATTTTTACTAAATCAAAACAATAGGAATAAGTAATTTTGATACATATTTTACCCTTTTTCTTGATATTGTTTTTATGCTAAATCAAAACTATAGGAATAAGTAATATTGATCATAATTTACCCTTTCTTGATTTTGCTTTATGACAATAAAAATAAAACTTTTTTTTTGGTTAATGATAGAAATAAATCCTAATATCGTTTTGATTGCCCCGCGTCTAAAGATCAACGACGACGACTCAGTTTCTTCCTTCACAAGCGAGAGAGATAGAGCAAAGAGCGTGTTGTGATGTTTCTTCTCTCTTCGGCGTTTTCATCGTTTCTCATCTACCTCAAACTTTTCTTATCACTCTAATAAAAATCTCACTTCGTTAATTTCTCGGAAAAATTTCCCTGGTTTCCAGATCTTTTCTTTTCACAGATTTTCTTTCCTGGGGTTTTGGATCTACACGATCTTTCTTTCCTCTTACCTTCTTAGCTTCTTCTATGAATCTGTTCATCGTAATTTCAGATTCTTGATATATGATTCCTTTTCTCCAATCTCTTCTCTTAGTTTCTTCTCAGAGATGGGTGAGAGATCAAACTCACGTTATCTCGGAGTAATCATCACTCGAAAATCTATAATTTTCTTGTCGATATCGATCCTCACCGTCCTTTCTTGGTTCTTAATCTTTTCTTCCACAAACCCTAACCGCGTTCTCGATTACATCTCAGTATCAGAATCCACAGATGTACCTCTCATCATCATCAAGAACTCAAACACTTCTCCTCAAAACAACGCCATATCACCAAATCCCCAAAACAGAGAAGGAGCACAAACAGAGGGACCTGATAATGAAAACAGAGGAGGAACAAAAACAGAGTCATCCATGAATCAAAACAGAGTCAAAACCCTCCGGTGTATCCAGAAGGTTTCTCCTTCTCGAAGGCCATTGAAAGTCTACATGTATGATATGAGTCCAG